TGACCGTCAACGCCGGCGCTAAAGCAGTGCCTCTCAAGCAAACACCACAGCTGCTTTAACTTTTCGTGGTCGAGCAGCTGGTCGTTTTTCTTTTTCAGGAATGTCGACCGAGCCTCGTCCCTTAGTCGCATCGCCAAATCGTCATCTTCTTCTGCCGAAATCGCGACCTCTGCAGCTGGGGGCAGCGATTCTATGCCATGACGATTTTCCGAAGCACGGTTCGCACACTCGGCACTCTTCATCTTATTGTAATATTGTTCAAACAGCTCGTATTCTTGGCTGTGGCGCTCGTCCATTGTGGCAAAATTGTTGAAACTGCCAACGTACTAAAACAATTCGAATATGCAAAATAAAACACATTAAAATATACGTTTCAGCGGAGAGATTAAAGGTACTTCAATATAAATTTTACTTTTTGTATGTAGAGATTTTCTAGATTTTCTGTCTCAGCTTTCGGATAGCTATCACATGGGAGAAGAACAATGCCGCAGTAAGGGGCACGCCATAGACGGCATGGTGGTAGGTCTCGCGAAGTCTTGCATGACCGCACCAGAACATCATGCCATCAGCATGGTTAACAGGAATTTCATGTTAGCCGCCCTGGGCTGATGGTACCGAAGCGCAGAAAGGTGAATTTCTTACTAGAGGGAAATTAGAGATAATAAGAAAAATCTGCACAGCACTTAGTCTTGAACCAGCACATTTAGCGCACCTAGTCGAACGACCTTTTTCTAACCACTGTCATAGCTAATGAAGGACGATTTGCCCAGACAATACTTTCTAAAATTTTAATACTTTCCCATGCATTTGATCTTTTAGTCAAAAACCTCTAGCAATGACAGATCTTTACTTACGAATGTTACTGACCGGAGTGGTAATCCACCCTTAATGAAAATAATTTGCAATATGACATCAACTTTTACTCAGGTAAATACTCTGTTCAAAAATATACCCTCATACACATATGTACATATTTACATGATGCTGCACTTCAAATCTCCATTTGATGGGGAGTCATCGACAGGATGATCGAAGAGTTCCATATCCCAAATCTGTTCAGACGGCTCCTTTCTTACGTTATCGAACTTCCTTCCTGTGTGCTAACTGAAAAGCCATTTCTACACCCTAAGATCCTACAGGTATTATAAATCTCTCAGGTCACACTTAGTGTTTCACCTGAGCCAAGCTTTGTAAGAATTTTAACGTGCTGACGTGCAATCTGTCTGATACACTGCCGCTTGCATTATCCTAATATCTAAATGAAGATCGCCTCAAGAGCTTTTTTGCAAATGTAACTCAAAATTACGAATGTTATAAGATTATCCCGTAAGCCAGCATTGAAGTCACGGTTTAAACTTATATATGCTGGACATATTGAAATAGCTTATGTATTAGGATAGGCTTAATGACAGTGCAGCAAAACTGAAAGGTTACGGGCTTGCATGACCTTGAATCAGTTTCAGTTCATATATGCATTGACGGTTTTTATCCACTCTAGGCGAAAACATATACAGATGGAATAAGAGAAACTAGAACAACCGACGACAAACTTCATTAATCGTTGTATTCGCAATCTATTTAGTGTCAGAAAAATAACGCAGATCGAAAACTAGTAGTTGCTCAACGAATTTAACTAAATAATTTCTAAAGCTAATACCGATACCATGCCGTAGATCACGTGAAAGTGATATGCCATCTGATTTAATGGCTGACAACACGAGAAACAAGAAAATTTATATGCAAAAATTCCGTCGTTTCGAAAGAACTGGCCTCTATCATAATCAGGGAATGGAATTATACTAACTAATATAGCGAATCATACTAATACTTACTTAAACCATACCACTAAGTCGTCATTTAGTATTTAAATAAAATTGTCAGAGCCCAGTACTCAACCAGACAAATGAAAAGTGTCAACGTGCAAACAGGCTTAGTGCATCAAACAGAATTACAGCAAACCAAAGCAAAGGATAAGTAACAAAAAATAGCACAAGTTATCAAACCAGAAATAACCAACCCTCTTCTAAACCGATTGGTTTAAAGCTAAATAATATCAATATAGTGACATTCAGCAAAAGGCAGTCTGCGTCTTGGTTAATTTCAGATACGAAGATAATCTTCTCTGAAATCATTAAAAGAACTAAATGAATAAATATAATCACTAAATGAATAAA